ATCTCTGTACCCACAAATTCTATTATTTAGTTTTGTGATCCATAACTTGTAACTGTAGAAATAAAATTTATATTTAAAGCAGAAAATAAGCCAGGCATTGGTGGCTCATGCTTGTAATCCAGGCTACTCAGGAGGCTGAGATCTGAGGACTGCTGTTTAAAGCCAGTCTGGAGACTTTTATCTCCAATAAGCTACTCAGAAAAAGCTAGAAGTAGTGCTGGGGCTCAAGTGTTAGAGTGCTTGTCTTGAATAAAAGAAGCTCAGGGACAGCACCCAAGGCCCTGAATTTAAGCCCCAGGACTGGCCCCTTTCACTCTCCCCCGAAAAAAATAAAAGCAGAAAATATGGTCCTATCCAAAAGAAAGGATAGGAAGATGATGATAGATAGATAGATAGATAGATAGATAGATAGATAGATAGATATCTTTTTTAATTTACTTTTTAACAACTTGTTAATTGCCTTAAAAATGATCACAGCATCTTCTTATTAGCAATGAAAATTAATCAGCTCATACATTGTGACTTGAAAGTTCATTTAACTACTAAAAGACAATGTCTAGTATATAAATGTTTGTTTCACAAGACTGTGAGTCTCTTGAAGGCCAAGATGATTACTTGTTTGCCCTGGTTGTCCTCTCAGCTTATCCTTGAGCTTGTCATGGCTTAGCACCTTACCTGAAACTACTAATTATGCAGCAATCTTGTTAACTAGTCTTACAGTAAGAAACCATCCTATCTTTATACTCACTGAGTGTTTACTAGCTAGCAAGCCCAGCCTGTGATTGTTCAGCTAAAGAGGGAGGAGGAACCGGCATCCCACTTCAGTCCTGGGAATTGATCTCAGTACCTTATGACCTTGCACTGAGTTACTAGGGTTTCAACTCAGGCCTTCAGACCTTCAAGTCAGATGACCTACTATCTGAGCCACACTCCTAGCATGGCTTTTCTTTTTGTCTTTTTCAAAATATAAATATTTAAATAAAGTTTTTAAAATACAAAAATAAATATTTAAATACAAGTTTTTAGACACAGGCCTTATAGTAGCAAATATGAATTATTTGCAGCTGATACCTAATATCAGACAAAATTCATGTGTTCTGTTAGTTCTAGAAATACCTTTCTGTTCAACATTCCTGTAAGTAAGAAGGATGTTGTATAAATAAAACTTCAGAATCTGCTGCAAAGTCGAAGGCTGCAAGAGAACATGCTCTTTGCTGGCCACTGTATGGATATACACAGCCTGTGCCACATGCATGGAGCCCAATGAAACAGCCCTAGCTTATGAACTTAGAACTCATTTTTTCAAAACAACTTCTAAGGGAATTATCTTTACATTTAATAAAAGGACAAATAAGTTAATATAAGCATAACATTCTTAAAAGAACAGGTAATTGTGCTGGGCACTGGTGGCTCACACCTGTCATTCTAGCTGTTCAGGAGACTGAGAAGAGAGAGATGTGGCTCAAGTGATAGAATGCCAGCCTTGAGCAAAACAGCTAAGTGAGAGAATGCAAAGGCCTGAGTTCAAGCACCAGTACCAGCACACACAGAAACAACAGATATTTATTTAAAAGTGCTATAACAGTACTATTTCAGTATCAACAATGTCAGCAAGGACAAAGTATGCTTAGGGTAGTGGTTTCATGTACTAACTTAAAATAATTCTGCTTTATTCATTAACGCAACTTCTTTGAGGCAATATTTAGATTTGTATGTATTTCCTTTTGGTCATTAGAAAGTAAATCAAGAACAGTTACAGACTCAACAGCCGACTTTCATGGAGACTTATGTGCATAGTTACATGATTTTCCCCCTTTCACTCTTATCATTATAAAAATAGACCAAGACTAGGAGGAAATGCTTATTGAAGTCAAATACTACTGAGAAGCTAACGGGAATAAATAAAAATCCATTCAGTTTGATGCTTCAGTTTTGGCTTTTGAGAAAGGCTCAGTAAAACAAAAGAACTGAGGCATAGCTATTTGGAAGGGAGTGGATGATGTAGAAATATTCCAGGGACTTTGGACTATTGTTTTGGGAAGTTGATTCTTTCCTGAAAGACATAAAACTGTAGGGAGAATATAACAATATAAAACTGCCCAGTGGAAATATAAAGGAGATCGTGAGAGGATAGTATGAGGCATAAACTTAAAAGGATTGAATCATAATAATTTAAACAATTACTAACTTTGATCTTCATAAGTATTCTGCTCTCCTAAACATTACCTTTTGTTCTTTAAAATTTTATTGTATCCTTAGAGTCTTAAGTAAATAAGACATGAAGAGACTTCTCAGTTACAGGATTAATTAGGGTACAGTTGGCTTAAGTGTACACTTCACCAAAGGTCAAAAACTGAAATAAATGGATTAAGTGCAGGATAGGATAAAAAAAAATGGAAAAGAAAGAGAGAGAGGGAGACTTGGCTGTGCTATGGAGACCAGATGGGCAGTCACAACTCTACATTTAAATCATATGATTTGATTTGGAACTTCTTTTCTGTTTATCTCAGGAAAGAGGGACACTTGATAAAAAATGATGTAAGCTAACCCAGCACTTGCAGCCTAAACTGTCCCCTACCATCTCAGCATTAATGTTCAGTTTCAGTCTATGCTGCTATTGTAGATCAGCTTGTAATCTGTACTCAGCACTCTGAATGTTTCTAGCAAAGCAATTTTCTTTCATTGTTGGCAAGAACAGGATTTGGGTGGTCCTAAGTAATGATGAATCTGACTAGGAAGACTCACAAGGCTCAGAAGCTGTTTCTGGAAAACAGTTGAGTAGTTAAGTATAGCTGAGTCAGTAGCTCAGACTTGTAATTGTAGTTACTTATGAGACCTGTGGGATGAAGGTTTGAAGCTGGCCTGGGCAGTAAAGTCTTAGATACTCCATCTCCAGTTAACCAGCAAAATGCCAGACTGTAGGTGTGACTTAAGTGGCAAGAGTATTAGCTGTGCAAGAAAGCCAAAGAAGAGCATCAGGCCTGAGTTCAAGCCACTGTTTGCAGCAAAAAGAAAGGAAATAATTTGACAGCTATGATATGGAAGTTTCCACAACTAAAATTTGGTTGTTTAATATACATGTTATATTTTTAACTATCAAAGATCAATTCTATAATGAACTGTTAGCAAACTTCATTCTGGCTTCTGATCAGTAGCTCAAGGAGGCAATGTATACTCTCATACCCTAAGCAACATTGTGAAAGTTTTCCTTTCTTGTTACCTGTTCTCTGAAAAGTTTTGATAAATTCATTCCCATGAGGACTATATTTCCATAGGTGTTCATATGTTTAAAAGTCTCTGTCTGTCTGTCTGTCTCTGTCTCTCTCTCTCTGTTTCTCTCAGGTGTTTGTCTCTCTCTCTCTCTCCCCCAAGAGGCAGTACCTTCAATTAAAATTTATTGGCCCACCTACTCAGTTTAGGTCCCTTAATTAGGACTTGCGATTTATTTGGCATTTAAGAAATCCCTTGTATTTGTGGAGTTTATAGTCTAGCTGTCAAGATTAAAACACACTAATTATGGAATTCTAGGAGTACTGAACCAGATGAAGATTTTTTTGGGGGGTCGGTTGTGGGGCTTGAACTCTGGGCCTGAACGCTGTCCCTCAGCTCTTCATCTCAAGGCTAGGGTTCTACCGCTTGAACCACAGCACCACTTCCAGTTTTCTGAGTGGTTTATTGGACAGAAGAGTCTCATGGACTTTCCTGCCTGGGCTGGCTTTGAACCATGATCCTAAGATCTCAGCCTTCTGATTACAGCTAGGATTACAGGCGTGAGACAAGGGCACCTGGCAGATGAAGAATTTTTAGTATCAGGTTCTTGAAGTCCTTTCTAAGATGCAGCCATTTCTTTTAATTATAGCAAAACCTATTCTGAAGACAGTTAATCCTCACATTGAAAATGCTTAGGAAAAAAATAGCTTATATAATTTAGCTCTAGCAGCAAAACTAGTATGTATCTCAAGTGACACTGTTAGAGTCTCCCCCTTTGCCTCCACATAAATTAGCAAGCTGTTTCCTAAACGTGTGTTTCAGTTTCAAATGAATATTGTTTTATTTAATCAGCAGATGTCACTATTTATAATGTTGCCATTTAATATTTTTATAATCTCTCCAGGTAATGGTTTACGAACTTGTAAAGTTCTTAGACACCTTTTTAATGCTTTTAAATTTGTTACACTTTTGTGTTCATTCACACATACTAGGGACGATTAGCACCATATAGTTCACAACATTGTTAACAAGAAACTCTAGCCCTGATTTTAGAAAAGTTAGTGGGAAAAAAATACAGCAAGGGAAGCATCAATGAAAATGTTGCCTTGGGGAAAGAAGAGCACCAAGTGTTGTTTAGTATTGTAGCAAAACTCCATAAGGCCCTGAGCTTAAAGAATTCCTTGAAGGCACGATTTAGAGACCTGATTCTAGACCTCTGGACATCTGGACTTCTGGCTTCAGTCTTAGAGCGCTACTGATTTTCTTTGGATTTTGTTTTTGTTTTTATTCTTGTTTGCTCCCTATAACTTTTTTAACGAATGTCTTTGATCCAGAGGAATGTTTGACAAAAGTAAAGATTGTCAGACAAAAATGTTTATTGTGAGGCAGATTGTCACTGGGAAATTTGTTCTTTGAATAGGTTAATTTTTTGTCTTCTGGGATATATCACTGTCTTGAAATGCAAGAAGAAGAATAGGCTTTAGTGTTTCAGGTACACTATGAAATGGTTTTGACTTAATCTTGGCTTTGCAAGTAGTATCCACAATTGATCAGGCACTTTGTCTTGTTTTGTTTAGAATTAGATAGCTTAAGCTGGCTATTTTTGTAAAGACAAAAGCAACCAAACCCAAAAAAGTAAATAAAAGGTTTGGGGGTGCGGAAAGAGCTTGGCTGTTTTGTTTTGGGGGTTTGTTGTTGTTTTAAAGAACTTAATGTAATTTATCATTTTCTAGTTTTTGTTTTAAGTGCTTGTTTGATATTTTAACATTGTTTTTCTGTTTCTTTTTCAGATGGTTATTGGAGAAATTCTGTCTGTTTACTTTAACCTCTTGCACTCAAATTCCTTTATCAGGAATAACTACGTAGCCACTATTTACAAAGCCATTGGAACCTTTTTGTTTGGTGCAGCTGCTAGTCAGTCCCTGACTGACATTGCCAAGTATTCAATAGGCAGACTTCGACCTCACTTCTTGGATGTTTGTGACCCAGATTGGTCAAAAATCAACTGTAGTGATGGTTACATTGAGAACTACATATGTCGGGGAAATGCACAAAAAGTAAAGGAAGGCAGGTGAGTGTTGAACCTTTGATGCTTGTTTATCTTGACTATTCTTACAAGGTTTCAGAGACTAGGAAACAAGTCACCAGCTTGAAGGGAGATACTGGTATAATCACTAGGAGTGAATTAAATTCATGTTCTTTTTCCTCATTCTGTTTTAACCATGGCTTTTTATCCATTTAGAAACATTTTGTTGAAACTCTTTTCATTGCCTCTGTATAAAAATGTAAAAGGGAACCTGTGGATCCTTTCTGGCGATGTCAGTAAACTTTTTCTTACAATGCCAGATCATAAATGTGTGAGGCTTTGTAGGCCATATGGCTCCTTTCACAGTTATTGAACTCTGCCTTGACAGAAGAAAAACAACCATAGGCAATACTTCAGATGAATGGGTGTGGTTATGTTCCAGTAACACTTTGTTTATACTAACAGCAGCGGCCCCAAGGGTTATAGGTTGCTGAACCCTGGATCTAATCCAAGCATTTTGAAAGCTCTGCTAGATCTTGTAGTTCCCCCACTTTCTTCCCTCCCCTCTCCTACTCTCTCCTGTTCTTCATTCAAAAGGTCTCACTACATAGCCAGCCCAGGCTTGTTTTAGACTTTTAAACCTCTTTTTTTTTGGTTTCCTGAGTTTTGCGATTATGGGAATGTACCAGGCTGCAGGGCTTTTATAATTATTCTCAAGAGTATCAATATTTTTGTAAGGTGACTTGGTTCAGTCCTCAGGTTGTCACCTCCCTCTCATTTTTTACATTTGATTTTTAAAATTTTTATTTGTGGTGTTGAGGACTGAGCCTATGGCCTCTCCATACATGTTAGGCAAGCACTACACCACCAAACAACATCCCAAGCCAAGGTTGCCTTCTTTTCTTTTTTTTTTTTTGGGGGGGGCGGGGTGGGTCGGGTCGTGGGGCCTGAACTCTGGGCCTGGGCGCTGTCCCGCAGTTCTTCAGCTCAAGGCTAGCACTCTACCACTTGAGCCACAGCACCACTTCCAGCTTTTTTCTTTTTGCTTACGTGGTGCTGAGAAATCAAACCCAGGGCCTCATGCATGCAAGGCAAGCGCTCTACCACTGAGCCACCTTCCCAGCCCGTAAGGTTGCCTTCTTATATACCATTTTTTGTTGAATGAAGTAGAATGTTTAGAATCCAGAAAGCCTACCTCCTTTAATGTGCAGATAAGGAAAAAAACCTGAAGACCCAATAATATTAAGCAAGACCACTAATTAGTAGCAAAGCAAATTCCTTACCTCAAATATCATAATTGTCAGACTTATCTTTTCTGTATAATTACCTTCTTATATTCTAAGATAGGTATTCATTTCTAACAAATACATACTCTAGGTAAAAATACCTTTAATTACTTTTATATATGGTTTCCAAATACCTCTTTGGCCTTTTGAGACTCTTGTAAGCAAATAGATCTTTGTAAGGTATAGTAAATAGGTAGGTTTCATTAGGTAGTTAATGAAGAGAACACCACGCACTATTCAGGCAAAAGAAGTTTATTTACCGAACTGCTGCCCCCGACATGCATGGTAGAGAGGCATGGCTGAAAAAAGAAGGAGTGACCCCCACCCTGGACCAGGACTTATCTAGGCCAGGGACAGGAAGAGGTGTGGCCCGGTGGGGGAGAGGTGTGGCCACATAGGATCTGGATGTGACCTCAGAGTCTGGGACCCTCCTAAGGGTCAGATGGGAGGCATGACCAGAGGTGGCCTAGGATGTGACCTAGCAGGAGGGGAAGTTGACTGCTTCCAGGTCTGCCAATTATCTAGGTAACAGATACTGGACGGAAACTTAGACAAGAGGGAGGGAGGTATCCCCGTACAGACCTTACAATCTTTTAGTAGCCCTCATTTTGCATTTAGTATGGATAGAAAAACAATTTTTTTTGGGGGGGGGGTGGCTTGAACTCTGGGCCTGGGCGCTGTCCCTCAGCTTTTCAGCCCAAGACTAGCACTCTACCTCTTGAGCCATAGTGCCACTTCCCATTTTTCTGGTGGGGTATTGGAAATAAGAGTCTCATGGACTTTCCTGCCCGGGCTGGCTTTGAACCACAATTCTCAGATCTCAGCCTCCTGAGTAGCTAGGATTACATGTGTGAGCCACCAACACCCGGCTAGAAAAACAATTTAACTAGTGTATATATTAGACTTTTTGCTAGGGATTCAGCAGTGGACATGACATCTTTGGTTCCCATCTTCATGGAGTTTAGTCTAGCAAGGAATACTTACATTAAACAAATGGTGAGAATGGAAGAGAACCTTCCTGGAAAGAAGCCAAAGGGTAGATCAGGTTCTTGAGTGACAAGCTGTGTAGTGATGAGGAGGAATGATATGGCTGTTGTCTAATGAAGAGGGAAAAGTGACCAGAGGTAGGCAGTCAAGAAATAGTATGTGTTAGAAAACAGTACTGTTAATTTTGGCTCAGGTGAGCAAATGTTTTTATAAGAGGAGTAGAGAAAGAATAGTCCAGAAATGTCTTTGTGGAGTGATAAAGGCCCCATCACGCCACAAGAAAGCTGAAGATCTCCTTTTCTGCCTTCATAGGATTATAGAGCCAAGCAGTATCCTAAGGAAAGGCTCATTAGTTGGCTAACTAGGAGATGTACTGAATCTTCAGGGAAGAGTTTGAAGATAAAGGACAAAAAAGAGATTTTAACAGTGGAACTAGAGTTCCATAGTGTACAGTGGAGGAATTAGAATGGAGGGAGTGAACAAAAAGCTTGGTTGGGAAGAGAAAGCTTATTAGAAGTGAGACTGAAATTTAGGACTTTTTAAAATATAGAGTAAGAACCCAAATCTAACATAAAATTATCACAACTATTCATCTGAAGCTTAGCTCTACAGTTTAAAAAAAATACCAAGACTATACTTTCAGGGATCATTTCTATGGTTATTTCTATTGTTACTAGAGAACAATCACAGATCATGTAGAGTACTGAAATCAAAACAACTCTGAGACTACATCTAGTCCCTGTTAGATTGGCCAACATTTTGAGCTTGAACCACAACAAATGCTGGCAGGAATGTGGGGACAAAGGAACCCTACTGCACTGCTGGTAGGAATGTAAACTAGTACCACCACTCTGGAAAATATTCTGGAGGTTCTTCAGAATACTAAACATAGACCTTTCCTACAATCTAGCCATACCACTCCTAGGCATCTACCCTAAGCATTATGAACCAGGATATGATAAGGATACCTGCAAATCATTATTCATTGCCACACTATCCACAATAGCCAAGATATGGAAACAGCCCAGATGGCCCACAATAGACAAGTGGATCCAAAATGGGATACCTATATACAATAGAATTTTACACAGCCATTAGAAAGAATAAAATAATCTCATTTGTAGGGAAATGGATGGAACTAAAACAATTATGTTAAGTGAGGTAAGCCAAGATCAGAGAGACAAATGGCACACGTTCTCTCTGATATACTGAAGTTCGATCTAAAATGCACTGGGATATGACAAATTACACAGGATTCTAGATATTCACATACAATGGAACCAAAGAGGATAGTCTTAGGAGAGAATCACAAAGGTGCAATGCCTATGCACCACTTCACATTTTTATATATATATATATATATATATATATATATATATATATAAACCAGCTCCTAAGATACAGAAACAAAAGACTTTTAAAAATGTTTTTTTTTCTTTTTCTGATGAGTCTCTATTCTTTACCTTATATGTGGTGTATTCACATGTGTATCTTTGGGAGGGTGGGAGGGAGGGTACAGAACTTGAGGAAAAAGGGTGAAAAAAAGTGCAGCAGTAGACCTCACTGGACATTGATGAAAATGAACTGTACAACCCATGGGTGGAGATGGGAGGGAGGGAATGGGAGAGAAGGAGGGAACAGATGACACTGTATAAGGAAATGTACTCATTACCTGACTCATGGAAATATAACCACTCTGTACATCACCTATATTAACAATAAAATAAAACCATAAAAGTTGGGTGTAGTGGCTCATGTTTGTAAATTGTAGCTACTCAAGAGGAAAAATCAAGAAGATTGAGTCTAAGCCAGTTTAGGAAAAAAATCAATGAGACCATATCTCAAAAACAAACCAAGTAGTTGAGCGCTGGTGGCTCATGCCTGTAATCCTAGGTACTCAGGAGGCTGAGATCCGAGGATTGCATTCACAGCCAGCCTGGGCAAGAAAGTCCATGAGACTCTTATCTTCAATAAAACACCAGAAAACCAGAAATGGCACTGTGGCTCAAGTGGTAACGTGTTCACCTTGAGCTGAAAAGCTGAGGGACAGCGCCTAGGCGCAGAGTTCAAGCCCCGTGACCAAATAAAACAACAACCACCACCAAAAAAACAAAAAACAAAACAAAACAAAAAAAACAAGTGTGGTGGTATACTCCAAGTTCTCAAGAGGTGGAGATGGAAGGATTGAGGATTAAGATCAATTCAGGCAAAGTTAGTGTAAGGCCCTAACTGAAAAAGAAACAAAGCAAAAGGATTGGGGGCATGCTCACGTGGGGAAAGTACCAAGTTGAATCAATCCCCAGTCCAATGAACAACACAACAAACATACAAAGCCAGGTGTGATGGCTCATGCCAACAATCCCATACTTGGGAAGGCTTGAGGCAGGAGGATTGTGAGGCCAAACCTGGGCTGTAGAACAGTGAAACCCTAACACAGGGAAACAACAATTAATACACACACATAGACATACACATGTACACATGCACTAATGAAAATTCCCTTTATGGATTTAAATCACAAAGGAAAATAAAATTGGGTATAGATACTCTTTGGCTTATAATGGGATAATCCTGATAAACCCATCATAAATTGGGAATATTATAAGTAAAAAAATATAATAGACCTACCAAACATCCCTCTTGATTATATGGCTGACTAGGAACTATGGCTTACTGCCCAGAACTGCAGGATGTTGCATCATTATATCATATATTGAAAAGATCAAAATTCCAAGTACAGTTTCTGTTTAATGCTTAATGAGTATTACTTTC